CCTTTTTATCCAATTGAATTATTGAACAAAATAAGTTTTTACTTCTCTTTCTAATATCAATTCGATTTTTGTATAAGTGTTCCGGTTTATTATTTTATTAATAATAATAATAACTTGATAATAATATTAATAATAAAAAAACATTGATAATAATAATAATAACTAAATAATAATAATATTAATAATACTAATAATTTAATTTTGTATTTGTATATGATTGAAAACATTCGACCTTATCATCTCTTAAGACAACTTATTGTATTAACCAAGTGTTAAATGTACTTATTAAATATTAAGTGTCACTTGTCGACGACTAAGTATTACCTACTAATTAATAAGTACATACTGAAGATTGAGAATTGCTCACCAAAGGTTAATATCTATTTGTCGAAGCATGAAAACTAACTATTGAAAGACTTGTGATCTGTTCCAAAGATTAAGTGTTGCTTGCTGATGAGTGTGTGTCTCTTGTCGAGGGCCATGTTCTTACCCCTTAGAACTTATTGTCGCCTACCGGTACCTAACTGACATTTGTTAGGAGTTGCACGCTTCCTACCATTACTGTGTACCACCTGCCAAAGATAATGGTGAACCACGTACATTATAACTTAGCCAAAATTGGCTACCATCACCTTAAATAAATGGGTTATTAGATCATAAGGCTCATACCCATGCCCGTTTAGACAAAGGGTCAAGTATTAAATCATAATGCAGATGACTTTTTATGATAAGTAAAATGGACTTTTTATGACAGATGTTCTGACATCATAGTTACAAGAGTCAAACCTCTCATAATAAGTCCAACTCACTTGACATATTTTCGAATTATTTGTCATAGTAAATACAACTTACTATTAAATATTTTTTTATCATCTATCATGTGAACCAATTATGATAAATATTTAGAAATTTGTCATATTTTTACCAACAAATCAATTCATATATTACATTGTCTAACAATCTTTAAAACATTATGTTGCATATACATAAACGTACAATTTTTTCAAAAGTTACAAATACTTCCAAGATATGTAAAGTATTATAACTTAAAATATTTTTACAAGTTATCAAAATATTTTCATAGCAAATAAAACTAAAATAAAATGAGTTATTCAGAAGCAAGGAAACCATATTGATGGAATTTGCATTTTCACATTTAGGTATTAGGTTTCTGAACAATTTATAGTCTCTTTTGTTTTGGATTAGGATAGACTTGATTTTGAAGAGACTGATTTTAAAAGAATTGATTTGTGTTTGGAAATATGTTCATAGAAAAATCTGTTATCAAATTCTTTACAGTTTGGGGCAGCAGGCAATGTAAAAGCAATTAAGCACTTCCAGTAAAGAATTTATGAAACAGAAGTTATAAACTAAACCCCAATGGCAATAGCCCAAAGATCTTTAAGTATTATTTTAGTATTTAAACATGATATAAATAGCCGTTAAAACATCTCATCACATTCTTTTGGCTAGTGTAGTAAAACTCATTTTGATGGCTCTACTATCAATTATGCAAGGTTGGAAATTGGAAGGAAAAATTTTACAGGGATCACAAAATGATAAAGCATACATAAAATAAAGGAATATTAGCTAGAAATATTTATTTGGAGTTAGAAGAAAAATACAGCTTTTATATTATCTCAGTTAAGCCTTCATCTTAACAAGGTATATAAATCAATCCTTTCTAGAATGGCCTCTAAAATTTGCTTTTATATTTAAACGTCTTTCTCAATAACATGTAGAGTATTTCAATCTTATAATTGAAGATCTACTAAAGTACTTCACTAATATGTAAATTACTAACCATGGAGCACCCATTAGGCAGTTCCTGGATCAAGCATCCAGAGGGATGTTTCCAAGACTGAAAAATAGAGGGTTTTTGCTGGAAGGAATCAAATGATACATCTGCTATCACCAGGCCTTCTTCAATTTGTTGACAGAAACGAAGGAATTGAAATTCACGAGGCCCTTTGAAATGTTTGGTCCTTGGGAACATTTTTTGATAGTTTTCAAGCAGTAGACAGAGCTTGCCATCTTGAGATGAAGACTTAATCCAAAAGGGCTCATTAATCCGAAGAGGCCTAACTAGCTCATCCATTGCCGTAGCAGCAACCTTAGCCATAAGGTTTTTTCCTATGCCTTCATTTGCAAATAAGTTATGGCCACCATCCATCATATGCAAAGCAAGATTTGGATCATGACTTCAACTTCCACCAATCACTTGGTTCAGTGGATTTCCAAGTGCTGCAGCAGTTGAACTTGATCCTATGATGGGAAAAAAACCCTGTTGGAACTGATCAGGTGGTAGCATCTGGCTCTCCAAGTACCTCGAAAGAAGACGAGACACCTTCTCATGCTGAAAACCAATTCACATAAATAAATATATAAATAAATGAAAATATATATATATATATATATATATATATATGTGTGTGTGTGTGTCTGTGTGAAAATCTAAATATGAGTCTAACTGTAGTATTGAATTGGATAAAAATGAAAAATTCAAACACCGTATAAAATAAAGAGATTTTCTTAAAATTTTTAGTAGAGAGTGAGATCTATTTTTTATGTGAATGAACTAAAATTTTATTCATGAAACCTAACATATATCCACCATACATACATACATATATATATATATATATATGTATATATATATGAATTAACAGGGCTGTGCGATTGTAGGTTCTAATCATGTTTATACTATTCCCCTCCGTGTTTTCTAATTGCTATTTTGTAATAAGATTCAATCTAATTTCATAGAACATGTTTATGTTTATATGTATAATTGTATTGGACAGTTTTGGTTTCAAAACATGTTTTAAAGGTTGAGTTGTCTGGTTGACAAACTCAAAAAAAAAAAAAAAACGTTGCTTTTCAATATTTTAGCTTAATTAATGAGACTTTTGCATTTTGTAACTGATGATTAATAAATGTAGATAACAATAATAAATAACAGTTTTAATGAAAAATATTAAAAGCATTTATTTGACAAAAATATTTCTTATTTTAAAACGGATCATCACTTAGTTTGTTTTTATTGAAGTTCGCAAAATATTAATGATTTTAGTTTTAAATGAGACTTTATTAATTTGAAATTGATGACTAATAAAAGCTATAAAAACAATAAATGTGAGTATAGGATGCTTAACTGGCATGAGTTGTTTAAAAGTAAAATTATTATGTCAAAATAGGAGCAAAAAATTGTTTAAATAATAGCCCTCTTTTGAAATAGTTTTATGAATACAAATTTCATTTTAATATAAGTTTCACGTACATATATTCACATGTTGCTTTGAATATAAAGAAAGTTGTTTATAAAGTGAAAATTACTTATACAGAAAGTTCTTAAAATTTATAAACGACTACTTTTAATTTAATTAATTCATGTAGGTAAGATCTACATTAAAATAATATTTTTAATTATAAGCAGGAACATGAAAATTTTGAAAAACTAGTTTATTTATTTTTTTAAAAAAACCTATACTTTAACACAATTTGTTTAGATTTGCTAGGAACCTTTTGTCATACAAAGAGTGTTGTAGTTTTGAAAAATCTAATTACTTATACAGGAACATGAAAATTTTGAAAAACTAGTTTATTTTTTTGAAAAAACCTATACTTTAACACAATTTGTTTACTTTTGCTAGGAATCTTTTGTCATTCAAAGAATGTTGTAGTTTTAAAAATAGTACTATATATTGATAATTAATGAGTTAAATAAAGTTTTTATTTGGTTATATATATGCTTAATGAGGTTGTCAACTTCTTATCTTTATTATATTAGTGTTATTAATTGGTAGAAATTTATTTTATTTCAGTACATCCACACACACACACACACATATATATATATATATATATATATATATATATATATATATATATATATGAAAATAATTAATACATATTTTTATTCAACTTTCTTTAGTTTGTACAATTGAAACAGTTTATTGGCGCTTTTTTAGATAACACTTTGTGTTCTATTGTCTATTGAAGAGCATATAGCTCTCTTTTTTTCAGAAGTGATAGTTTGTTTTAAAAAATATTTTTATAGTTAAATTAAACAATTTATTTTCCAGGTAGTAAATACTAGTATAAAAAAAGGAAAATAATAATAGAGTAACACATATTTATATTTATTTAACATATATTATAATATATTATAAGTATAAAATGATTATAAAAAAATTAATTTTTTTTATTTTAAAAAAATAACTATTGTAACATAACTACTTGCAGTTCTTTCTTTGACTTTCATTATCACCTTCGTTTGTCTTAAAATTTTCTCTCATTGTTTGGGAACTGAAATTTCACTTCGATCAAAGCAAATTCGAGGTATATATATCTTCTTCTCCGTGACTTTGTCCTTCTATGTTTTTACTATAATATATGTTGCTGGTTTTTAGTTTTTGCTAGTTGTTGGAAAAATCTTTAATTTCTAATGTTAAAGTATCATTTTTTTTTAGAAAAATGATTTTTTTACATATCTAAATTTAATACATTCATTTGGCATTATTTTTATTTACTTTTCTTCTTTTTTTTTCTTGTAAAAATACAAAATTTATATTTTTATTACTATTTTATCTGTGTCAAATAAATATATAAAAGTGTCTCCTGGTATGTTATTCCTTTTCTTACTGTGATTCTAATTGTGTGTAACAGAAACAGGCTTTTTACGAGTTATCGTTAAAGTTTGACACAAATGATTTCATTTAGTTGAGTTCAAAACGGTCATCAATGTATTTGGTGTCTAAAATCGCCTATACTAGGCAAACATGATGTACGAAGTTCTATTATATAGAGATTTTATTTTTCTTACAAATTTTTATCTTAATGATTCTTTTTCAAAATTAAAACTTGAGGAATCTTCTTGATGTGCTCTATTTCTGAATCAGAAGGGTTTCTTTAGGGCATAGACGATGTTCGTTTTTCATGAATCCTATTGCTTATGGTATGAATGGTGAAATATTAATTTGAATTGAATAACAGGAGTTAAGATGGATCAAAACCAGCGACGTGAAGCAGGAAAAAGAATTAGTGGAGCTCCAGCACAAGCAGATGGAGGCAAGAAACAGGCAGTTGGTGTTCCTGTAGCTTCACCCTATGCTGGAGGGTATCGCTATGATCGGCAATGCATATACCAGCGGCAGCAAGAACAGTTGCAGCAACGGGTAAAAACCTTCTGGGAAAGACAGATGAAGGAAATTAAAGAGAGCAGTGATTTGAAGAACAACTTGCCTCTGTCGAGGATTAAGAAGATCATGAAGTTTGATGAAGATGTGAAGATGGTATCAAGTGAGGCTACTATGCTGTTAGGCAAGGCTTGTGAACTGTTCATAATGGAGCTCACAATGAGATCTTGGGCTCACGTGGAGGATGACAAAAGGAAGATAATTCAGAAGACTGATGTTGCATCTGCAATCTCAATGAATGATATGTTTGATTTTCTTGTTGATGTTGTTCCCAGGGATGACACTGTCCCAGTCATGGCGGGACAGCAGGTGCTTCCGGCGCCAAATCAGAATGCTCCTTACCCTTATATGTCACTTCCACCACCACCACCACCACCGTATGCTGCTCCGACAACTGCTCCTGGGAATGCTTCTTCTTCATCCGCTGCAAATCCATTCTATTTCAACTTCAATCCCACCCCAGATGAACAAGGCCCTTCCAATTCCAATCATCATTGAACACATAAAAGCTACCAAGTGAAGACAGTGCTGTTTAAGGATGATTTTATGGTCTGTATCTTCGACTTTAAATGAACCTTTCTCTTCCCTTTCCAGTTCAATGGTCTATCAGTACTTATGATTTGAATTCAATAAAACGTATCAAACTGTCTTCGGTGGCAATTTCATGGATAACTATTGTTGCTTAGTTATTTCTATTCCAGATTCTAGATTCTGCATTCATTAATTATATATAGAGAGAAATATATATAGACAGAAATAGATATAGATAGATATATAGAATTATGATTCTTTGAAAAAAAAATGTTTGATATTAATAACTACTATTTTACAATCCATAGGAGTAAAATGTCTAACAAAAGTGAAATTTGTCATTAATATATATATATATATATATAAAGAAAAAGAGAGAATGAAAGGTAGTGAAATAAGTGAGTGTAAAAGCTTTTTAGTAAATATTATAGATAGATAAATAGATAAATAGATTTTTTAGTGTTTAAATAGTGTAGGTAGATTTTTTAGTGCTTAAATATTATAGATAGATAGATTGAGAGAAATGAATGAGATATTGGTGGGTGCATAAACCCTTGACATAAAACATTTGAAGATAGTTAGGGTTATAATATGCTGTCTTTGTTTATCAATGAGGATATATATTATATTATAATAATAATCATAGATATCTATATCTATCACCTTTTTTTTTTAAATTTAATTAGACATTTTATCTTTCGTTTTACTTTTATTGAAGAATATAGGCTCAGTGTGTATTTTTCCTTATTAAAGGTTATAGTTTTTATAATATAATCTCTTACGGTGTGTTTAAATATGTAATGATATTATTCAAATTTTACTTAATTAGCTGTTGTGATATTACTGTTATTTTTATTGATATAACAACCTCAACTAATTTCTTTTTTGTGTATTAAAAATGAAGAAAACATATTTTTTTTATACAAAATAGTATGAGAATGGAAAAACTTTTTTTGTTTGAGGTTTCTCACATCATTTCAACTCATTTTTAACTATATTTACTAATTAAGGATTTCCTTAACCTTATGTGTAAATTTTAGTAAACAATTTTTAACATATGAGATTGTAATATTTTTTTAAAACAGTACTTGAAGTGACATTTTTTTAAAATGTTAGCTTTTAACTTTTTATATATTTTTTCTTTTTTACTTAAACTATTTACTATTTACTAAATTTTACGTTTAATCTTTTCTAATTTAGGTATTTTTTTTAATTATTTTCATTTTCTTTTGTTTCTCTTATTTAATTCAGAATCTAGGATTTTGTGTACGTAGGAATATTTTCTTATTTACACCTTTTCATTACATATATAAGTAAGTATATTGATAATAATAGAACATCTGTTTGGTATTACTTTTCTGATATTTTATATCACACTATTTATTTTTATTTTTTCTGATATTTTATATCACACTATTTATTTTTATGAATTTACATCAAATTATTATTTAGTTTAATTATAACTATTCTTCGAGATTATCTTTACAATACAGTTTTTTTTTTCTCTTTTTGGAACTGAGTATTAACCTTTTCAAAATAATAAGACTATGTTTTTTACTCACTATCTTATAATTAGGTTGGAAAAAGAAAATCCTTATATGCATGCACACGTAAAATATGTTACGAGTAGTTAATATATATAGATATTTATATATGCAAATGAGTATTTTAATATTAACTTATAAACAAATCAAGTACAAATATTATATTATTAAGTTCACAAATATATGTTACTTACAAAACATAAAAATAAAAATTAAATTTATATTTTATTAAATTAAATTAGTAATTTATATTTTATTAGGTTAATTTTAATCAAAAATAAAATTTAATTTATATTATATTTTAATATTTTTTAATTTTGTTTTGAAAATATATATAATATGTTTCTAATATTTGTGAGTATCGATAGATTTTAAAATATCATAGAGTTTTTTTAAAACAGGTATATGCATGGGAGCAAATCGATTGCAGATTAAGTTTTCATTTGTAAATCAGATTACAAATAAATACTATTTATGTTTGACCTGACTCGTTATGATCCCTATTTATAATCAAATTTAAAGTAATTTCAAAAGTAATTCTTATCCTTTAATTATGAAATATTTTGAAAATTAAGGTTAGCATAACAAAGATTAATGTTATTTAGCATATTGTGATTTTACTATTGGACATATCAAACAAGTAAGCGAAACTCTCAAACCACTCCTAAAATTTTCTATACTTTATACAGTTTTTTTTTTTTTTCATATTTCTTACAAAAGAAAATTGCAAGAAAATTATTTCTTTCCATTTTTCCTAAAAATTTAGATCAATAATAATTAATTACCATAATATTTAAAAATTAGCAAAAATTTCTTATAAATTTTTTTATAAGATATATCCGCAGCAATTTTTCTTACAAAAAAAAAAGTACAACAATTGTGAACATGCTGCTCAGTTTTCCTGTTCTTCATTATAAACTTTACGGTCTAATGATAGAGAATCGAAAGTGAGATAATAATAGCAAAATATCGACTGAGAAGAAACCTTGATAAGAAGAGTGACGTACCTGTCTCGCGTGTTTGCGCCTTCCCCTGTATACCTTAAGCCTGTGGTTGACGGCTTTTATACCTTAAGCCTGTAGTTGACGGCAGGATTAATGTCGACCTGATACTCTTCAGCGGCGACAGATTCGCCGGATTTTTCTAAATAACTTTATGTGTTAAGTATAAAACTAATTTTTATTATATAAAATCAAAGTAGACACACATACACATAAACATGGGTATAAATTATCATTGTTTTACAACTACTATTATTTTTTTTCTAATATAAATTCATATTTGATATTACTTTGAACTATGATATATTAGATTGACACCTTTCTTTGTTCGTTTCTTTAACTTTTCTTTTTTTTCTTTGGTTTTTTTTGCAAGTATGAAATTTAATTTTAAATTTGTTCTAACCAATTTTCAAGCATATTAAAACTTTTAAATTTTATCTAAAGTTTAATTAGTATTTTTTTAATATTGGAGTTTATTTAATGTGATTCCATAATTTTTTTATAATCGAGCCTTAATTTTATTTAAAAACATTGAATATAGGTCATTCCATTAAATTAGTTGTATAGTCTAAAAGGTGATCACATATAAGCTTTTGTTTATTTTTTCTTCTTCTTTCACCTTCCATCACCATTTTTCTTTTTCTCTCTCTTCTCCATCATTCACCTCCATCATTATTTTCTCTTTTGATATCATATTCCTTAGTCATAGTTAAACATACTTAAGAAGAGTTGAAGAAAGGTGGCCTAAGCTCTTATCGCACAAACTATTAGTGAGTTCTTAATAAATTAAGTTTATTTTAGGTCTTGTATAATGAGCCAAGTAGTTTAGGGTTTCTTTAAGTCTTGCATTTGGGCCTTGGATTATAGTGTAGGGCTTTGCGCCTAGAGGATATGGGCCCAAAGGGGACACATGGGTCTAAGGTAAAAACTTAGCTTAGAGAGCAAACCTTCTAGAAGCTTGTGAGCTCTTGGCTAGAGTGATCTCCAAGTTGTCTTCTTTTGTGAGACACTGTTAAACTCATTGGCAAGTGTACCAAATTGTTCAAGTAATATAAAATGGTAAGATCAAGTATCGTTTTCCAACAGACTCGCATAATATTAGTTAATTACACTATTAACAACTCATATAGACTCTAGAACAACATATTAATTGAAAAACAAGAAGATAAAATTTCAACTATGCAAGTTTGGACTTTGGTGTTTGAAGACACTTGCACATGGACTAAACTAGAAATGGTATGAAATGACATTGTTAAGGTTAATTTTCACCTATTTACTCTTGTGCATACACAATTTCATCTCCTCTCCCTCAAATTACTAAAGTCAATCCACAAAATTACTCTAGCCTTAATCCCTTAGGTGAAAGAGCCTAGCTTTTCCCTATTAAACTCCAATTTATTGGAAAATCTAATAAGCAAAACCCGCATTAAGAACTAGGATCTAAGACAACAAGTGAATCATCTTCCATTTCTAGAATCAACGAACCACTAGGACTCTTGTTCAGTTCTAGATTACATAAGATACGTTCCCATACCCATGAATCAAAGATCAAGCCATGAACATCTCTATTACATGCAAGCTTTAAGATTGGAAACAAGAATACTAGCAATTGATAGAAAAGACATATATATAT